CAAGATTTTTAAGTGGTTTGTAGAAATATATCAGTGATATTTCACTGTTTGAAGCAGTGAAATTATGAAATTGATATTTTTCACAGTTTTGAATTCAAGCCTGTTACGTTGTTTCAGTTAAATACCAGCATGCCTAGTACTGGAAACCAACGACATGTTACCTTAAAGACATTTCATGTCAATAATAATAGTCTTACAGATTTCTGTTTTTTTGTTTTTTTGTGTTAGCATGAGTTTTTATTGGACTGGCGATTGTCAGATCATAAGACCATAGTCTGAACCATTGTGCAGTCAATACTCTGTTGTTACCAAGGCAACCTGCAGGAAAATTAAAATCATCCTTTCAGGTCATTTTTGTCAGCATTTACTTTTATAAATAGTTTCAATAGGATTATTGTACATATATATTTACATTGTATAAGGCCATCTAGAAGAAACATGTCACAATCTGATTAAGATGAGGTCCAAATAACGCTATACAATAGGATCTGACTAAACCACCAATAGGCTGTCACCTTCTTGTGATCTTTAAAACAACCAATCAGCTGCGAGCTTTCATAAATTTGAAAGCGATGCAGTTTCTAATTTTTTACTGCTATACGCTAGGATCTGACTAAACCACCAATAGGTTGTCACCTACTTGTGATTTTTCAAACAACAAATCAGCTGCGAGCTTTCATAAATTTGAAAGCAATGTAGTTTCTAATTTTAACCGCTGGAAACCAATACCGAGTAGGTAATTTTTTAAGATTTCGAGAACAAACATGGCGTTGTCGATATAGCCCCTAAGTAAACTGGTAAAACAATCTTGCCCATTAAAAATTGAGTCTATTATCTCCAGTTAATTTGTTAAAAATAACTTCAAACAAACTTTACTTCCACATACAAAGATATTTCGATACCTGTCTAATGCCTGTCTGTAAAGGATGGTTTGATTGCATAGTTAAAAAAAGCTTTCTCGGTTGAAGGTGGGAATCAAATCTTAAGAAATTAAAGTAGATCTGAACTTTAGTCAGATTGAAACATGTTATGGACTTAAATAGACCAGCTAACGGACATTTAATAGACTGGCTATCGCATTGTTAAAGTATTGGAGTGAAATTATTTGACTGTTTTCTTTTATGTTAGTCTTTTCATATATACAAATCTTGATACTAATTTGACAGAAGTCTGTGCCAGTCTTTAATTGGTAAAGTACTGAAACAACTTTTCTTGCATATCAGACTGGCGTTTCCGTTAGTTTTACCCATGCCGGAAATTTCATCTGGCATGGGGGTTCCAGATGAGTCGCGTGCTGTACAATGGCACGATAAAGATGACGTCATTTTACCGTTATGAATTATTTTGTAATTCATACGCTGTTGAATGAAAGGTTGTTATGATATAAATTTTCATTGAAAATAAAGATAAAGAATTTAAAATATAATGGAATATGGTAGAATATGCAAGAAAAAATATCTGACATATGTTTGCGGTTCGGATCGGAATATCCGTCCCTCGGTCACCCGCCCATAGACGGTAACTCGGCAAGCCTCGTTACCGCCCAATGGGCGGATCACCTCGGGACGGATATTCCGATCCGAACCGCAAAATATGACAGATATTATTAGTCTGAAATATTATAAACTATATTGTTTCCTGTTAGATTGTATAAAGTTTTATAAACTTTTAAATTTGTGTAAAACATAATTATGTAACATGTCTCTACTGTTTAAAGACCTTTTGTCACAAGTAGGAAGGAAATGTCTATGACAAAAGGTTGAACAAAACAAATATTGAAATAAATCTGTTCTCACATTATGTAGCTCAGTGTGTCAGTAGGTTTGGCAGACAGCCAACATTCCTATTGATTACAGGAGGTTTATCTTGCTGATAAAGTACATTCTTTTTAACTGGTTATGAAGTCATACAACATTTGTTAACAATACATGTATTTAGCCTTGTGTTTTAAAATATAACTTTTAATAGAGTTCTTGTTTCTTATTTCTTTTGTTTGAGAAATAGTGACGTGACTCATTCTTAACATTACTTTGAAGTTGCCAATAACTGCTCGATAGAGTGGCCATGTTATATAAAATGCAACTTAATAGTAATCAATACAAACAATTTTGTAATTATAAAGTTGCATCTACGTCCCTCTGCATTTTTTTTTACTTCCATACTTGCATAGTAATCTGTTGCACTTTCTTGATGTTTTTCCTAGCAAATTTGGTACTTTAAAACATGGGTCAAGGACACCAGTGCTTAAAATAAATTTTTACTCTATTTATAGACTAATGTCTTCCATACTTTGTATTTAATAACTTTCATGGGGCCAAAAAAAAAAAATTGTTTGTTTAGGGTAACCTTCCCAAAATTGCTAGGTAGGGTAGGTAGGGATTTTTTTTTATTTTTTATTTATTTTTTTTTTTTGCAAAATCTGTCGTAAGTTCAGAGTGTTTTCTTGCACATGGCAGTCTTTCCTACACTACTGACATTGCCTGACTTTGTATTATCATATTTTATCATATATAAAACAATAATTCTGATTAAAATCTGCATAGCTTTAATGCGATTTAATGTTATTTCAATATTGAATAAAGACAATATACCCAAACGTGTTAATTTTGATGTTTGTTTGCTACAGGCACAGTGCCACTACTTTAAGTTTGACTCTAATCTGAACAGCAAACAGTGCAGATTCTCATCAGCTTGCATGGTTTCAATTCTGCTGATCTGAGTCTACAATGGTTGCATGGTAGGAGTTAAGCACAATAAAAGAGCTAAAATGACATGCTGTGATCTGGCTTTCAAAGTTTTAGTTAAAAAATCTAGACTTGTTTTTCACTATTTGATATTCGTGCGTTAAATACTGCACATTTCATTGAATTAACAATTGTAGAGCTGACATCTTGAAGCTCTTACAGTATAACAAAGTTTATATTTTGACACTATGGTACAATTTAACAAAATCTATAATTTTGAATTGCACTTTTCATACACTGGTTCACATAAAAAGTGCAAACACTTCTATTTGTAAAATGACACCCTTAATGTCAATCAAATACTGTTTATTTTCTAACAGATACATGTATGTCAACATATCAAAGACAATAGCCAAGCTTTTTGTTGAATTGGCATTTTGTAGATGTCATTCAAAGTGTCGTCTAATAGTATCCATGGCCCATCTGAAAAAAATCAAAGACTAGATCTCAATAACACATGGAAAATGGGACGGTATGAAACAAAATGATGCACAGTACAGAGTCAGACTCCAAGTCTGGCTAAAAATTTGTTTCAGTATGCAAAAGAGGATGAAAAATATACTGGAAAAGCTTTGCAGGTCTCCAGAATATCTATGTACATATGACCTGTGGCTATACTTTATATTCGAGTGCACTTGATTTTCAGTGGGACTAGGGTCTCATTTGCCTCTAACTACTGTCTGAACTTGAACTGGTTTAATAAATTGTAACACTTTCAATTTTCAAAGCAAGCTGAAATGTGTAAATTCAGTGTTTTTTTCACCCTTTTCATTTTAATGTTACTGTTTTAATATTCATTTTGAAGTGTGGCACAGGAAAAATCAAAACAGCTTTTCAAATTTTTGAATATTAAAAGCAATAAAAAATAGTGGCATTGATCTTACCTAAAATGTGTTAAACCTTGTTATTTATGCAATAAAATATCAATATAGATCTACTAAAAAAAAAATTTTCACCGACAACATCTGAGTACGAAAATTATGGGTATGTTGGTGTCGGTGTCAAAATTTTCCACCGGCAGGTAGTATCGTCCGGTTTTCGCATGAAATCAATGCAATATATATTTTTCTTTCAAAACTGTCTATGAACAGATCCTTATTTTCACGTTAATTAAAACAGTAAAGCCAGAAAGTCAAATATCACCCAGGTCCGAAAGAGTAGACCGTCATGACATGTACATTGTAGCCTGGTATTTACGCATGAAATACTACATCAACAAAGAGATCAAACGGGTCGAACACACATGCAAACAACTGGATTTTACATACTTTCAAATGGTTTTATCCTCCACGAGTGACACTAAGTCCTATGTGCCTGTATTCTAAGATAAATTCTACATGTAGAAATTCCTAAATGTTGTCTCGCAACACGTGCGTGGTTCCCCGTTCCGCTCTATGTCAATGTTTGTAAAACGGAACCGGAGAATACTTCCGGTAGGAATTCCCTTCTAAAAATATCGTCTAGAATTTTTGTTTCCGATAGCGTGATATTCATTGGACCACAATACAGCACGAGCCAATCAAAACACGTATAACTAAAAATGACCGATCTAAATCGTCTGAGAGTTTTACGAGAGCGTCTCAAGCTTTCAATTCTCATTTATCCTCCCTTTGGCTAACGAATTTTTTTTTTGTCCAGAAACGGAAAAAAATAGTTAGGGTCGGCGCTTTTTTATAGGTAGGGTCGGGTTACCCGAAACAGACATAATTTTTTTTTAGGCCTGGGCCTCTAACTTTGAGTGTAGTAAGGAGTCACTTGTTTGAGGTCAATGGTACTAAAAAAAGAGTTTTATACTTTTACTAATACACATGTACAGCCTTTATTTATGAACCGATACCTTTAACATTTAACAAGTAATTACGTTAAGTAGATCTACTCTTAGTTGTACCCCAATTACATTACTGTGTGGATGCTATACTAGAATAACTTTGTCACATTATGGAAGGTTGGGTTAGAAGGGTGGGTTGGAAGTCACTGTTTGCTGGTCAGTCTGACTCCATATTTCATGTCTACTAAACTTAAAGGATTTTCTTCAAACCTGACTTAAATGTCCACCTTAACTAGATGATGTGCATAACTGTGTGACTGTAGTTCTGGCTGAAGGTAACAATTTTTGAAGGTCATATGTCAGACAATTATGTGTCTGCTCTATAACCTATATAGGGTTTTTTCCAATGTTCACCTAAACTAGATGATGTGAAAAACCCACTCGTCCCCTGTGCTAGCTCAAGGTCAAGATTTTCTATATTATAACTTATTGATGCACTGAAATGTGAAAATCTAACATATTATTTTCATTCACTTTCAGAAGAGAGTAGTATTCAAGCTGCGGATTCCAACAGTCCGAAACAACCATTTGTACCTTGTAAAGTATGCGGTGATAGAGCATCAGGATACCACTATGGTGTGACATCATGTGAAGGTTGCAAGGTAAGAAAATTTGTATGTTTAAAATGTTAGAATATCTGACTTCAGTGTGATAACATTTGAAAAAAATTACAGGTATAAAATGTCAGGATGCCACTGGTGTTGAAGTCTTGATATTTTAGGTGTTATTAAGACCAGGTTCTTTGTAATAGACCAATTAGGTAATTATGTAACTCTTCTCAAGATATATATTATTTGATAAACAAGCATTTTTAGGTAAGTACACTTATGTAAGGGGAGGTAAATGTGCAGAGCGGGGGTGGCAAATGTCCATATATGGGGAGGGGTAATGTGACACTTTTAGTAAGGAAGGGAGCAACTAGTACAATAAAAAAAGTCTTAATTAGGAGTGAGATCTATTAAAGGAAAGGTATGGAAAAAGTTTCATAAAACAAAATAACAAGATCAATAAAAAGATTAACATAGTTGCATAAAAAGATTTCTGATGAATAAATATCCATTGTTCCGTGAAATGAAATGATTGAGTTCCTTAAAAAACAAGAGCTGTCTGTAAAAACAAGAGCTGTCTGTAAGATGGTGCTCTACTACTATTATCAGTGCTTGGCTGTAAGAAAAGGAGCATACCTCTGTTCAAAGGTAACTCAAGAGTTATGGGACATTAGCCCATTATGATCACAGAGAAGTTTTCCTATATTCCCTTCAGTAGATTTGGAGATATCGACTTGCACACAAAAACTTGACCAAAATGTGACGGCAACATCGACAACAGGGTGTGTACAATAAGTCTCCCTGTTTTTCAAGTAGTCAAGCTAAAACTGAACATGTTTCATAATTATAAAGGTAGGGACTAGTTCTGGTAAAGTGACAATTAAATCTAATGATTGTGTGTATGGTTGAAATTTGCAGTATAATATAAATTAACTCTTTCCTTCATGAGCATATTGTGAAAAATGTCCGGTTTCATTGAAAAGCCTTCTGATACAAGTTCAAACTGCTATGAAACGATGAAAAATGCTTCAATACTGATGAAACTTGGCACAAATGTTGACTGGAACATAGCCTCTGTAACAGCATGCTCAATCTTAAATTTCCTTTAACATTGGCAACAGGGGGACATCTCAAAAGTGCTGCAACTTCTCAATGGATTGAGGTAGGGTAAAAGGCTTTTCAGTTATCTTACGATCGACCTGAGGCCATTTTTAGCCTGTCACATGTCCAAAATTTTCTTGATGAGGGGGGCTGCTGCCCACCTTCAAACCCCCGAAACAGAAGGGGGCACATCCCCTTCTGGCAACCCCCCGGTGTACCTTTTTGATGGGGGGGGGGGATGTGCAGTGCTGAAAAAGTGGTCACTTTTTTATCAACATTTCTCAAACGAAAAACAGTGTTTGGGGCCTAAATAGGGCATTTTTTCACTGTTTGAATTGAGGCCTCAAAAAAGGGGGGGGTCGAAAAGCCGTATGAGGTTAGGGTTAATAGCTTAAAATATTAATAGATGTAAGAATAAATTTGTTTTCTTTGTATTTCAATGGACTTGCACACATGAACAAATTGCCTTACTAATCACAGGATGTTGCTTGCATATTTGTTTCAAGTATAACTTTTGTGTACTAAATTAAAGCTTGTGGCATGTGTTTTGATGTTTACAATTCTTTACTTTGTTATAAAACCATTTAACAAAGATGCTCAACTGTTGAAAATTTGTTGCGTTTACTTGATGGATAGTGTGGTAAAATTGTCTGTACCAGAAAACAGACATGATTTGGCCATCCCTTAAAATATGTTTTGTTCTTAGTGTCTGAAACTTTTATGGTCTTACATGATAAACCTGATAAGTTACAAAAAGCATTAGATATACTTACAAAGATAGAAGTATTTAACAGTTCGTGGAATAAAGGGAACATAGTTAGAAAATTATTTCTGATAATGTCTTGCCCATATTTTCAAGAAATCAATATAAATAAAATTATGTACAAGTGTATTACTTTTAAAACTTATTGATAATGTAAATAATTCGTAGAAATGTAACAAAATTCTTGAGTGTTTAAAACTTGTGTTAGAAGAAAACAGATATATTATGTACATATATAATTTCGGTGAATTGTATGTTACATCCTTAAATTATATCATACAGGGTATTTAATTAGGTTAGATACATAGTTTAGGCAATCACTTTGTCAGGTTCATCTGATTGATCTGAGAATGATGGTGTGATATATGTCTGCATCCATTGTTAATCACAATTTCCTTATATCTTTAACCATATTGTAGATTTTGACCAAACTTCTAAGGTATGATCTTTAAGTGACCCTCTACTAAAGTAATATAAATGGTTCTAGTTTGATGCACAAGTAGGTCATAGGCATTGAAAAAACTACAGTGCCAAAATCTGAGATACAGTCGACATTGTATTAAGAGACCACTCAAGGGACTGCCAAAAAGTGGTCTCTTAATAAAGTGGTCTCTCAATAGAATTCTGGAAAATTCAAGACTTTTTTATATTACAAGTCATAGAATCTAATATAATAACATCTTTTTTATAAAAACAAAAACTGTACAATATTATGTTTGTATTACAGTTTCATAATTACATTGATGCCTTTTTAAAAAAGTCATAGATATGTGTTTTTTGTTTTTTTTTAGTAGAAATTTGTGTACAAATGTGATCTACGCTCATAATAATATCATAATAATATCAACAGGTCATTTTGTCCATAAAACAAAGCATATTGTCTTATATTGTTAATAATTATGTTCATTCACATCTCCTGCTGATCATACTTTCGAATCATCAGCAAGATCTCCAGATAAATGTTCATGCAATGAGTTTTAAACTTCTTGATTTTTTCAGCAATTAGTTTTCACACTACCCAGATTTCAAATTCAATAAGGTTTTGAGAGATCTAGGATTTTTTTTTGTCGAAGGGTCATATTTAATAGGGTACAACATGTATTTTATAAAGCATCATATGAGCACCTACACCATCAGCAATGAGAGGCTCGGTTCTATATTGTTTAGTCCACGATTTTATTTCAACTACAAACGATGACATTTGATATTTACTCAGACTCAATTCCATGCACGATTTCCTCATTCAATTTATCCGGTCTTATTAGTTGTCTGATATTTTTTCGCTCTTTCCGACGTCATTTTTGATTTGATTTTCTGGAAGGGAGGTCACTCTGAGCGCATGACAAAACTGTGCATGCGGTGTTGTGATACGTTATTGCTCTGACAAAATATGTCACAATAAATATTACGATCGGAAAACTGGTTTTTTCTTTCCAATTTTGAAACGATTGCAATTGTTATTCAATTCGTTTTTAAACGACAATTATTTGTGACGATCGTTTACTGTAATATATACTTTTAGACCAATGGCCATGAAAAAATATTTGTTTGTTTGCTTGTACTCGCTGATTACACAGGTGAGAAGCCTGTAGGGACGATTGTTTGTCACGGCCATTTAATAGATACTTTAACACTTAATTTTGTACATTAGGGCCGACATTTAGTGGCCGCTGGCCGCGATATAAAATCATCGTTTAATGGAATTAACTTATATAGTAAAAATCATCGGGAGGGATTTTATGCGGCCGCTTAATAAAAAAGTCGCTTAATAAAGGTGGACGCAAGTACGATGCCGACTGTATTTGGTATATCAGAAAATTATGCAAAATATATTTATATATACCATTCCCCTTCATCTAAATTTAACTATGCCTAGTTACATAGACTTGAAAAGAAAAGCACAACTAGATTTGATTGAACTCATACCCCTGGATAAAAAATGCCCCTTGCACTTTACAATTAATTTCAGTTGAAAAAATCTTGGGTAAGCATGGCCCAAATTTTAGTTTAAAATGTCTCTGAGACTAGTTGACACAGGGATCACTAATTCACTAATGCAGTTCAGTTTCAGTTTTATGGGATTGGAGAGTATTTAGGTTTGTACTGTCAAGAACGAGGTTTTGTTTTCTATAAGGTTTCACATATGGTTGAATCTTACATAAGCATATTAAAGTAAATTTGAAAAAAAGAGACCATCAGAGCTAAACATTTGAAAAAGATCTGAGCAACTTCACCGTGAGCAAGTCTGTGGCATAATTGCTCACCTTGTTTAGTCGTTGAAATCATAAAATAAATTATTTGAGAAGGTGAAGCTTAATGTATCATTGAAACCAAACAATTTTATAAGGATGGCCTTTTGTCAGAGAGCACCAGTGCATTATTATTTCTCAGGTAAATTGATGAATGAGTTTATTATTCAAGGTCATGTCAAAGTCATATTTCAAATTAATTGTTTGCAATTAAATGTATCCGCAAGCATGTGTTTGGTCATGCAGGTGCATGAATTAAACTTATTTCAGTAACCACTGTATCTTGTTAAACTGATTAGAATCTGCTTAATTGTTTGCTTCCTGTAGTAATTAATGTTACAACTAGTTTGGTATGATCACTTGACACAGATCTTGATTGAAACTTTGTTTGATCTAGATTTATACATACAATTGTACATACAATTGATGTTCTTTTCAATCTTTTCACATTTAACATTGTTGACTTCAAACAACTTGCCCCTCACCGCTATGGGTTAAAATCCCAACAGGAACTTTGGATTCTTTCATGTGAGGAAGCTATCCAGCTACCTTACTGAACGTTGGTGGTTCTACTCAGGTGCACGTTGGTGCTTGAAGTAATGCATGAAAGGGCACCTGAGGTCTTCCTCCACCAGTAAAGCTATGTCAATTTGACATATACTGTGTTGGTGTGATGTAAAACCCAATTAAACAAACAAACAAACAAATCACAATTAACATCACTTTCCGTAAAGTTTTACTATTACAGTGAGCAACTTGTGCAATTAATCATTGCATTTATTTAAGTACAAGTCAAAAGTATCAACATATTTCATGTTGATTTATTCACTTATATTGTCTTTGAAATTTGAATGTGTCCATTGTTAATTCCACAGATTTGTGTAATAGAGCTACAAACAGTTAAGAGTTTCAGTTGATTTTCTCACATTATTGGGAAGAGACCATAGCCTCTTGATTTTGGGAAAAATTATCACTAAAATTGCTAATTTGGGAAGTAAGAAAAGCTGGTGTCAGTTTAGATTTTTGGGAAAACTGTATGATTTTAAAGACAGGTGGTGATCCTGATCTAATGAACGATTCTGACCTGACAATATTGAACCACAAATCATCTAATTGTTCTAATACTAAAAGAAATATCAATGTTGTTTCAAAAACATTATGAAAATAAAAATACATATTAATAGTTTATAAATCATTAGTTTAGAATTGAAGTTTAGCTGAAAAAAATGTTTGAGAAACAGGGTGAAATGTAAACAAGATGAAGTGATAGTTTTTCTAAAGGTTTTCAAGGAATGGCACTAACATGTCACATTGAGGGTTCCATGATAATTGCTGTGTGAACACATCTACGGAAGTTTCTAAATTCAAATTTCACCATTACCATATTCTGCTTAAGCCGTTGCTAGGGGTGTGAAGGGTAACTTGCACTTTCCATTACCGTTCATGATAAGGCTCAATCAAACCAAGTCTGCTACATTTTCATTTTTTTTCATTTTGTGTGTTCTTTAAGGGTTCTTTATTTGTCTCTATTTTATGCAATAATTATAGAGTTATTAGAATTTTTTTTTTATAGGTGTAAATTGCGTTCCAGCGATGTTAGGACAGAAGAATAAACAATCCATATTGTGAAGGACTGAATCTCAAAATAATATGAAAATATATGACTAATCGTTATAGCCCTACATGTAACAAATATATTGAGTATATTATTCACATATAGAAACACACTGATTTTCACCAACATGGTCCCAGATTATTTTTTTAATGACTTAGACCTATGTTTTTTTATCAATATAATAAACAATATATATATATTTCTATAATTCAGGGATTTTTCCGACGGAGCATTCAGAAGCAGATCGAGTACCGGTGTTTGAGGGATGGAAAATGCATGGTCATACGGTTGAACAGAAATCGCTGCCAATATTGTAGATTTAAAAAATGTCTCGCTGTGGGAATGTCTCGGGATTGTAAGTTATTACATATTGTACTTTATAGATGATACTGATAATGTGATTGGCGTACAGTTTGTACTTATATGCATTTGTGATTTTTTTTGTCAATACAACTGCACCTAATAAATTATGATAGGATAAGTAAGAAGAAAATTACACGTCAACACCAGGGATGTTTATGTTATTTTATTATCTACCGGTTTCGATCTACCGTGAGGTCTTCATCAGGATAAATTTTGACAGAAATTTGGGCCTGAAGTATTAAAAATGTATAGGGTGGTAAGTCACATGACTGACCAAAAATAGTAACAAAAAATCTAAAATAGAATAAGATTTGGCTCAGTGCCAGAATGTTGTTAAGTCCATGTGAAATAGTTAAATTAGTAAAAATATCATAGTTTTACAGAGTCCAGTGCTTTCTGATTATTGAAAGTTCCATAAATAAAGAATACACAAATAAATTGTTCTTTTGTGTCACCATTAGTATTATACTATTTCTATGTTATGCACTTTTTTAATGTTAATATATGTTGGCATCAGTCGTTTTAATGTACAGTCTAGTATAAAGGTTATAGTGTACATCCTTAACTATTTAACATAAAAGATGAGCTTCTTTCATGGCGATTTCATATGTAATTTTGATAAAGGAGTGAAAATCGTTCAAGTGGGCCAAGAAGGAATACAATTCCTCACAACGATGTGGCCAAATGGTAAAAATGTCATCAATATATCTGCACCATATGAGTGGTTCTATTTGTTCTAATAAATTATGATAAATGTATTTTATAGAATTATGTTGACCCAATGAACTTGATAATTGTTCTTATGATGGCCTTTTGCTAAGGATTACTGGCACATTTGAGTACAGATAAACTTTCCTATTTACATCGGTATCTGTGATGTCAATACTATGATAATTTTATGAAGCAGAATTATTCATAAGGAGACAAACTAATGACATGTGAAATATCTTACTTTTTGTGCACTAGATAAACTTTTGTATGTATGCTTTGTGTGTTTATATAGTTACCTTACAAACTAGTTTCTAGTTGTTCAAATACAGTTTTTGTCTCCTATATTGCATAAAATTACAGAACTTGGTATATGCTGAATGTTCATCAGTTGAAAGGTTTGAGAAAACAATTATGTTTTATATAAGCACAAATACATCCCTGCAGAAAGAAAATATATGAAATTTTGAATTGGAAGAGGTAGACTTGTTTCATGTTTTATAATGCATATTCTGAGGTATATTTTAGAATGGTCATTCCGAAGTATCTTGATTATTATTAGTATGGATGTACAAGAGCAGATCACAAATGGTGCTACAGTGCCTTGTGAGATAGTCTGGCCAAGTTAAAACAACTAAAATACAAGTTCCACATCAAGATACTGACTTACAATTACGATATTTTATGATTTTTATCACATTTGAATTGTTTTCAAATTTGTTTTATACCATTTTAATATGATAGTACAACTGCATAACTGAAACTTGATTCATCAGTGTTTGATTGGAAGCAAAATTAATGCTGTTAGTCAGTATAATTCTTACTACAGTTAGTGTGATAAGAAAGTGTTTCAGTAATAACAGATGAAAACAAGAGGAACATGATGGAAAGATTGTTACGGCATTAATTGAACAGCATACAAGGTCACATTGTTAAGGCAAATAAACTTCAAAGCCCAATAAATTTTCTCTATTTACAGATTTGATAATAAGAATCTTAACATTCATGTCATTTATTATAGTCATTTATTATAACTCTTATGAAACTTGTCTGATAAAATGTTATTAAGCATGACACTGAGGCTGTGGTATAAATATTTTCCTCCACTTATTTTCTTTATTGTTGATACAAAGTAGCAATATGTGACAGATTCTGTCTATGTAAGACAGGATACTCTGAGGCTTAAAGTCAATTTCCATAAATGTCTGATGGATTGAAAATGTTGGTTATTGAACCCGCCAAATAAAGTGCAAAATTTAATGATGTACTGTGTCATTCTTTTCACTGAGATTAATTTGTATTTTGTCATATTGATTTTTGTGCACTTCCTTTTTACATTGTCAGAGAAATGGTGTTCGAAATGGAGAATCTTAATTTGTATTCAAATATGGAAGCTCTGTAACTGTTTGCATGCATTTTAATTAACAGATGCTCACTGGTGCTTGCAACAATACACAAAGACATCATTTATTCATGGTGAAATCTGTAATATTCCCATGTTGACCTCAATTTGCATCAGTTAGACTTAAATAATACATTAGTATACAGAATTTAAATTTCCAAGAATTATTGTTTGAAATGTAGGCCAAATAACAGGAGTGATAATTATAATAGTGTACAGTGCAATGGCATTGTTCTTACCATTTAAGATTGTTTACATAACAGTGTCTCTTTTTTTAGCACACATAATTAAATTAAATAAATTGGCCACTAATAATAATCCTATTGTTTACTTGGCACATGTGTCCTATGCCCTCATAGAAATTTACAAACATCTGTATGACAATTTCGGATCATTGGTAAAAAACTTATAATGATACAAATAATTACTTTGTTAATATGATAATATATGTAAAGATATTGCACTACTATTTCATGGTATGTATACCATGTGACTTTTTGTAATGTCAGGGGCCGAAACCAGTACAGAAGACGGTCCAGGTAATCAGACTTCCCAAATTACGTCGGTCCAACAGACATGTCCGATAAATTTTGATTAGGTCTGACGATTCATTTTTTCGGATCGGTCTGACTGTTGGGCTTTTATCCAAGAAATGGTGTTGCTAAAGGTGCCAAACCTGGGAATAAACAAAAATCTGCATCAGGGGAGGGTACAGAACACAGTGAAAGGAAGAAAGGAATAGACCTGAGAGAAAATTTAATGATAAATGGAAGCAGGACCGTGAATGGTTGGTGTACGACACGGAGGAGGTGAAAATGCGCTGTACGGACTGTGCCAATTTTTACAGCAAAAAAAATAAAACCGAAACACAAGTTTTCCTTTGATTTTGTTTAATTTCATTTGGTCTGACAGATTTCGTTCCGGTCTGACAGATTTTCATGGTATGTCAGACCAAATGTCTGAAACTTTTTTTTAACTTTCAGGAAGTCTGGGTAATATTTTCTTGCATAACTAATCAAAATTTTCATTATTTTTTATGGGAAAAAGTGTACAGCCAATTCATCCTAAGTAAGTGACCAATACATAGTATGTTTCTTGATAGAAAAAGAGTTAATTATTTGTAAACACTTTAGTCCATTATATTTGATATCTTAATTCTATGTAAGACACAACAACACAAACCAACAAATCAAAAGAAAAGAGGAGTACTGTTTACTTGGCCTAACTGTTTGTAATTATTATTAAATTCTAGGAAAGAGATGACAGTGTTAAATTAATGATAATTTGATTGATGGCCACTGTGTATAATTATTGAATGAAGAGTTATGTTAAATGCTATTTATGTAACATCATCTTTAAACTTCATCTAACAATCCAACTTAACCAGTTTATAATGAGCTTCTTTCTTCTTATTGTTTTAGAATTTAATTTCCAGAAACAGGCAAATTAAATAAGATTATATTAAGTTGAATAATTTAAGCCTTGAAAAATTTAGTTTAATTGCCAGAAATCATGTAGGAATTTTTCTGTTATGCTTTGATATTAGCTTGCCACAGTTGATGGCCCTAGAAAAGTCAGACGTCATGTTAAAAGTGCTTGTTATTCCCTGAAAAAGTGCATGAAGAGGTGCTCTACATTATATTTAGAATGCAAGTTGCTTGACATGGTTGCTATGCCATTCAAAATAATGACTGAAGGAGCTGTACTGTTAGACCTGGCTCAAATGATGCCGTGTTTCTGGCTTAACATTTCTGAACCTCTTCCCAGTTCCATGTTTATATATATTTGACCATTGTAAATGAAACACCCTATTGATTTCAATATCAAAATGCAAAGTTTGAGTTGGCAAGACTATGTAAACTGGCCTCACTTTATACTGGTTGGTAATGTGAAGGTGGCCTCTCACTTAATACTGGTCAGGCTTTTTGTTATTAAGTTTGTGATCCAAAACATCAGTTAAAATGCTGTTTAAATCGGTTGTATTTTGAGTCTGTATATTAAGGTATCACCCTCAACCCTTGGCAAAATCAGTTGTTTTCTTTGGAGCATCTGTTGACACTTAAAAAAGTTAAGATTATGCCTGGATTCATATGTCATTGGTCATTGAACCTTCGAATCTGGGAATGTTTCACTTGTAGATTTATTGGTTGGTACAGGATACTAGTCAAGTCAGGCAGCTGATATATAACTGAAATACTGTAACTGCAGATATAATATGATTCTTACATTAAAGATCCTGTAAACCAAATTTTTTTATGGTTGTATAGCATAAATCTAATGCTCAAATGAAGATTTATCAAAATTGTGACTATCAAAAAGCATTATTTGTAAAGATATTATCAAACTTTCCATTTCGTGTAAATAAAGGGAGGTAATTACAAATTTATTTTCGAAGAAGTCTAAGTCAGTTTTTACAATAAAAAGCTAAATGATTTAACTTTAAGGTTCAATTATATGTAAATATACATTTGCTTTACATATTTAATTTATTCTTGGATGTTGGGAAATTGTTTTAGAAGAATAATCATATAAAAGTTCACTTAAATGTTGTTACATCCTTGATTACAACATACAGGATCTTTAAACTAACATAGATACTGGTTGAGTTCATGTACTGTGAGCTGTTCATTTCAGTCAAGCAAAAATAATTAAATTATTCATTAAATTCTAAGTATGTTGTCATTCATGTAATGAGTCAGATAATTAACTATATTAGATTATAATTACCTAGTGTGATAGTTAATTAAATTCCTCAATTATTATGTAAGCATTAATGAATAATACATAAGTCTTCAGCCTTCAAATCACTTTTTGACAATAGCTGGCATTATTCATAAATGTGGGCTAATTAAATTAGCAAATATATTAATAGATTTGTGAAT